CCTGGATTATAAGGAAAAGTGATTCAGAAGTGTAGAAGAACTTATTTACTTATTTAAAAATATAGTAAAATTCCTACAGTGGAGACACCACCCAAGATGATGTGATTGTGTCTGACCCAGCTCCCAATCAGATGGTGTTTGCATCACTTGTCCTGCATAAAAACCATTCCAAGTCTCAGTAGGGCTGATCCAGTTCTCTGTCAACACTGAGGTAGACAAAAGACCTGGACCTTGCCAATCAGAGAACCCCATCCCTCTGGACTGAATAACTGAATCAGGAAGAGCACATGCTCCAAACCAGGCCAACTGGAGCCTTCCAGGGGAAAAGAGAAGGAAGTCATTTTTGTTTGGTTTGGTTTTTGGTTTTGGTAGAGCAAAAGATGGCCCCTTTTAAATGAAGTCACAAAACTTAGAGGGTATGAAGCCAGGCCAGGCTATAGCATGGTGTCCACTTCATGGTCTACCCATGCAGACCACTGCAAGAAAATTGAACAAGAGCAGAGACGCAAACCCAGAAGCCTAACAATAAAATAGGAACTCCAGATTCCTATCATGTCAAAATCATTTCTGTCCTAGATTTTCCAGTTATGGGGAAATAAATATCCTTTTAATTTAACCTACCTTGAGTTAGGGTTCTGTCCCTTGCACCAGAAAGAGTCCTGAATACCACAATCTCACAAATGCTTCTACTTATATATAAGGATATCTGGAAACTTCTATCTTGGGCCATTGGACCCTATATATTTTAGTTGTAGATGGACACAATACCTTTATTTATTTATTTATTTTTATGCAGTACTGAGGCTCAAACCTAGTGCCTCACATGTGATAGGCAGACACTTTACCACTAAGCTACAACCCCAGCCCCTCATGGAATCTTGATTTTCAGGAAAACTAGAAAGTAGCTCTGCTTCTCAATTCTTACATTTATTAGTTAAATCTTAGCCCGAACATGTCTTTGTGGGGAGTTATATTAAAGACTTTATAATTTTTTAATTTTTTTAAATTTTAAATATAACATACAAAAATTCATAAAAGTTACATATACACTTTAATGAATAATTGATTATGAAGGAAAAACAAATAATTTTGAAGGACTTAGACAATCATCACCAAGGCTAGGAGAATGCTGTCAATYCCCCTGAAGCTCCCTGGGTGCCCCTTTCCAGTCATTATCCCTGTGTTTCTCTATCCTGATTTCAACAGCAATTGCTTCAATGGCATGCTTTACCATTCTGTCATCTCTGTTATATCCTAAAAACTTTTAGTTTTGCCTGTTACTATATTTTATTTTATTTATTTATTTTTCTGAAAAAATATTTATTATACCTTCCTCAAGGCAAACCATTGTATTAAGAATGGGGTCAAGAGGGAAAGAAGGAAAGACACAGTTCCTACCATTCAGCTTACATTTTATATAAAATATAATCTTACATTTTTAGCTAAACCTTGTGTTTATAGGATTCACTCATATTAGAGTGTAAACAAGCATTCCATTGCTACACAGAGTTCTACTGTACAGACACACCACTATGTATCCATGTTAATGCCTCACTGTAATTCTAATACTGGAACTCCATGTTAAATACTGGTCTTGGGCAATTCCATGCCATGGCTTTTGTTGTATGTGTGCTAGGTATTTCACCAAGGAATTAAAGTCCATCTAGGAATGGAATTGCTGGGTATGTGGATAAAGTCCAAGTGGTTTCTAGAGGAGCTGTGCTTATAGTTTTTTTTTTTAATTCAATGGTTTAAACATTCTAGATTATTCAAACATAGTCCTATCATATATATATTATATATACACTTGTAATGAGCCTGCTTTTCTGAAAGTCCAAAAACAGTCCAYGTCCAATAAAAAAAGTTTAAGACTTGACAATAATATGGTAGATAAATACATTGGGTTAATAATTATCTATGATTTTTACAATAATGAAATATGTAAGTATTAACCTCCAATTAAGCAAAGGCTAATATTAAAATGAGGACATGAAGGATTATTACTGCATCCTTCATTTTGAAGGCAGTTGAAAGGATGGTCGCAAACATTATTCTGCAATTCTAAGTGATAATCTTGTCATAATCTCATAAATGTATAACAACATCTCCTCTTCTATCCCTATGCATAAACATGTAATTCTTCCACTTAATAGACACATGTTACAAAGCATCTGGAAACTTCCAAGGTAGGAAAAGAGAAACTATTTCTTAAAACTACTGAGACATGGAAAAACTTAAAAATTCAACACTTTTTTTTTTGGACATACTTTCGCTYTGGCACTCCTTTCCTCTTAGACAATGAATGTTAAACATAAAAAGACTATGGGTGAGGAAAGGCAGCATCCCAAGAAGCAGCAGTCTGACAGTGATTAATACGGGGCTGCCAAAGTATATCTGGCAGGAAAAGAAGCAACAGCTTATGAAACTGATAAAAAAAAAAAACAGTCAGCAAGACACCAATAACATATCTCCCTGGAGCCTGAGATAGTGTAATTCATGAATTATTCAAGCTAACCTGTATTCTTCTACCTATTTACACAATGGAGGCAAAATATGGGACTATGCATAATTCTATTAATATTAACATAGAAAGTACAAGAGATTGGACTGAATTTTGGTTCCTCTTGTGATATACCTTGGAAATACTTTAACTGAATAAGTTCATAATGCCTGACTTACCATGTGACCCTCATTTGAACAGAGTAGTAATACAGAACAAAAATCTGGGTATTTGAATTTTCTGGTTATTTGACTCATTCTTTCTTTAACAGGTATGTTTCCATCTAATTAGGAACATTCAAATAATCTAACCCTTTCAGAAATCTCAGAACAGATTTCTCAAGAGATTTTCTTCTCACTGTACTTTAATTAGTATGTTATAATGTGCTAAATGAAATGCAGGTCAAAATTGCTAAACTATGGTACATATGAAGATTACTTTGTTAAAAACAAAGCAAACCCAGCCATGATTTGAATATCAGCTTCTCATCCGAGTGGGTATAAAGGTTTCCTTTAGAAGAAAGATGGCTCTGAATTTGATGAACACTCACAACACCACTTGTGTCCAGTTTCCTGAGGTAGGGACCAKACTATTGTAGATCCTAGGTGAGTTTATTAACTGAAGAAAGGCCTCTGAGAATTTTTGACTAGAAAGTGCCAGATCATCACAGGAAGCCCCAAGATGATAGGATGTAGAGATACCAAAGGAGGACACCAAGGAGAAGACAGAAAAGGTCATGAACAGAGCTAATGTAGAGAGGACGAATCAACCTCAAAGTGAGATAAAGTGGATAATCAAACCAGCACCATTGTGTACCATCATCATTAGAGACAGTACACCAAAGGAAATGGGTCAACTTCAAACTTCACAGGCCACTCAGCTGCACCTCATCTATATACTACTTCCCCCACTGCCAATTTTGACTGCAGGGGTTCTATTTTCTCCAGCCATTTACATGCTCTGTGTTCCTAAGCTTTATTCTGCTCTTCTTAGTCAATTTATTGTGAACTGACTGATCTACTCCCATGATTTCAGCTTTGATYTTTTTCCCCAGCATCAGTATCCAGTATCCAATGGGTCCCAAACTCAGAGAATTAAAAACAAAACTCAGAACCATCCATCTCAATGAATGCATTTTCTCAAATCAAAATATCATAGGCATTCAGTCATCAAAACTAGAAAACCAGACATCACCTTGGCAATTCCTTTGCCAGACTGTCCACAAACCCTATCAGTTTTTTGTTCAATGTTTCCTTCCTTTCTTCCTTCCTTGTTTTCCCTCCCTCCCTTCTCCTTCCTTTCTTGTTTTTGTCTTTTGAAATAAAACATGAGTATATGTGAGTACATATGTGAGTACATAAACAAATAAAATTTTTTTAAAAACCCACCAAATTGTGTTTTAATTCTGCTTCTCTTTCTCTGGGTCTCAACATCTCTCATTCAGACTGATATTTTCTAACTGGTATCTCTGCTACTAGATGTTTTTCAATTCCATACTCTATGCAAATATAACAAGAATTTTTCAAAAATGAATGTCAGACTGTGTAATCCCTTGCTTCAAACAGATCAATGGCTTCTCATTGGCTTTAGAAAAAAGCCCACATTTTTGACATGGTTACATGCACTGCCTCCATCATTTGGCCCCTGCCCATCTTACACTTTCACCTCGCACCACTCCCTGCAGTAAACTCCAGTTTCATGGTGTTTCCTTTGTGCACAGGGCCCATTTGTTTCCATACATTTACTCTTGTTCCCTTTGTCTGTAATTATATATTCTCTCCTTCCCCTCTGCCCTTCCCCAACCTTAATTATTCATATCTTGGAAAAGCAGCTGCCTCATCCAGAAAGTTTTTCCTGAAAGTTCTGGCAGAACTGAGTTGAGTATTCTCCTCTCCATTCTTTCACCCTGTGTTTAGAACACTGTAAGTTTCTAGTGAGCATGTGTTATTTTTGTCATTAGAAAAATCAATAAAGACAAAGAAAAGAGAATAAATATAATAAGTCTGTACCAACATTATCTGTGCCCCATCTTAGACTGTAAGGTTTTTGAGAACACAAATTATAAATGATTCATCTCTGCAATCCCACTTCTTAGCCCAGTACCTGGCAACTGAAGCTCCATAAATGTTCTGTTAAATGAAGGTGACTGACAGGAAAAAGAGTATATGAAAATAAATAATGGAAAAGATAAGACTTCCTTGTTAAAGTGGTCCAAGTCCTGATATTTGGGCAGTTACAATGACTTCTTTATTATAGATTATTCTAGTTAAAAATAACTCCAAATAAGCAATTTATTTGCTTCTAACCAGCAATATTAATGCTATTGAAAAACTGTCCTGTTTGTGACATCAGATCTCTCACTTAATCACCCAAGGCACATTTTATAAAAGCTATGCCATGTGTAATCTTCATCAAGAGAATAGAAAGGCAGAAAGAAGAACAAAACCAAGTAGAAATAAAGCTGGTAGCATCATGATTTGTCTCTTGGAAGATTACTTACATGCAGCAGCAATACAGCAGCAAGGAAAGACTGTCCTTGACAGTATCCAATGTCTTCATCATACACAGAGTAGGCCTGGAGAAGAGATGAAGAAATACTGTAAATGGTCACAGATTGTAACTGAAGTGTTAGCTCACATCAGGGATCAGAATAAGCTTATTCTGGGCTTTCCACCACAATTTCACTGATTTTTCAATTTGAATGTGTGTGCCATTAGCTCAGTGGGCTGTCCCAAGAAGGCTGTGTTTTTCCAAGATGTCCCATTATCCCAGACTCATCTTTGGAATGTGAAAATAAAGAGATGCTCAGAGGATTTGAATTCATTTTAAAAAAACCCATTATGGTTTTAGGTGAGGTAGGTCAGATCATGGGAGGCTCGGGCAAAGGGTGGGGGAAGGTAAGACTCTGATATTGATTAGAATGCTAAGGCACTACAAGAGGGAATCCTGAAGGTTCTGGAAGTAGTGCAGGTCTACTATTCTGAGAGACACCCCCCCCCAAAAAAAAAAAAAATTACACTGTAGAACCTCTAGAAGTTTTTGAAGACCTTCTGAACTACTCTCCCATTTTCCACAACGCAGAAGAGTAGAAATGCTCCGCTCATCTCTCTTGCTCGGGCAAGGCAGAACAGTCAGTGTTGCAGAGTGCCTCATGCCACATCACACCCACCATTGTAGGTGCTCTGCCTGTCCCACATCTTTAGCAACACTCTAGCCAGGCCAGACAGAAGACACCCAAATAGGTCCCTCACAGGAAGTCCAGAACTCCTTGGAAAGTAACTATCATACCATTCAACCTGACATTTGCCTCTTTGTCTTCAGAGGAAAGGAAATAAGGTTGTATCTTTAACAAACACTAATAGTGCTTCAAACAGCTGGGATTGTGACAATAAATGAAGACCCCTTATACTAGATTTTAGGAGGCTAATCAGTAAGTGAATATGCTGATTAAAGGACAAAGAACAAGTTAGCATTTTCTGTAAAAGTGCAGACAGTAAACACTTTAGGTTTTGGGGGGACAAGTAGGGTAGCAGTTAACTATGAAAACCATTCTTAAATCAAGGGCAATACAAAAACAAGTTTTGTGAGAAGGGCTCACTAACAACTGAGGTGCTGCCACCATTTTTTTTTTTTTTTAAGATAAACATCTCAAGTGTGCTGCTGGAATCCTGGATATGTATCCTACCTATGTGGTAAACTTCATCTTAGGTAATTTCCTTAAAACAATGTGTTGCGATTTTGTGAGTATAAAAACTGCTTCTGTCCAGGGCAACTGTTATCAAAGATCACTAGAGAGGGTAACCTGAGAAGGGTAAGGGTAGTACCTCCTATCTGCCAAGTCACAGGGGGGAGTCTGGAGTAACAGTGCAGTGTTTGGTTTTGTTTTTTTGTTTGTTTGTTTGCTTTTTGGTAAAAAATATAATAATAAGGACTGTGATTGTGGCTTAGTGGTAGAGTGCTCACCTAGCATGTGCAAGGCCCTGGGTTCAATCCTCAGCACCACATAAAAATAAATAAATAAAATAAAGGTACTGTGTTAAAAAAAGATAATAATAAGCTTTTTTTTTTTTTTTAAGAATTTACATTCAGTGAAATGCATACACTTTAATTACATGACTCCCTGAATTGGGGTAYTTTTTCAGTGCACCATTCCTGAATGACCACACCACTTCAGAACACTCCTTTGTGCCTCTTCGTAGTCAAACACCTCTACCCAGGCATACATTGATCTGATTTTTATAATAATATGTTAGTTTGGGATTTTGTAAGTTTTTATATAAACAAAATCTTAAAATATGTACTCTTTAGTGTCCAGCTTCTTTTTATCTTTTTAAATTCTTTTTTTCTGCATTTTAATTACACCAAAAGTGTGGTATTCACTGTGACTGTATTTATACATGCACACAATGTAACAATATAATTTGATCAATTCAGTTTCTTTTATTCAGCATGTTTCTGAGATTCTTCTGTGTTGTTATATGTCTTAATACTTTATTCCCTTTTGTTGCTGAGTAGTGTATTTCTRCACAAATACTGTATGACTTGCTTATCCATTTTCTTGTTTCCAATTTTAGTCTGATCTTTTCAAAGACCTTATTTTGGGTTTTATTATCATTTTGTTTATATGTTTTTTACTTCCCTGATTTCTGTTATTATCTTTCTTTATTATTTATTTCCTTCTATTTAATTAGGGTTTCATTTGCTAATTTCCTAGCTTGTTAAAATAAAAATTTAGATCTTTCTTCTTGTCTAATGTAGACATTTGAAGCTATGCGCTTCCCTCTAATTTACTGACATGTTGGTTATAATGCCCATCCTTGTCAACTGTCATCACCCCTGAATGTAGAGAGTCTCAGCCCAGGCTACTTCTCAGCTTAGTGGATCTCACCTCAATAGTGTTTGTAAAGAATTGGGCAATTTCAGCTCCAAAATCCACAGCCTCAGAGGAAAMAAAAACTTGGGGTTATCCAACACAGGCCCAACTGTGGCTACCTTTGCTTTGGAGGATGAGGAGGATGGGCTAAAGTAGGTCTATTTCAGCTCCATCTGCTCGTCTTTTTCTTGGAATGAAATGAACTAGATAATTCATAAATTTCGTCAATGGCTCTTAATAAAGGTTCTATGCTGCATTTATGCTCAAAATTTTAGACTGAATTAATCCATGAGTTATTAATATGGGTTTATTATAAGTTCTAAAGCAAATGAGTATATATCTCTTCTGTTCCTTGTGTTGTAAATGAAACATGGGGAAAATATTAAAATCTTGATGTTCTATCTATTTTGTCCAACTTTAACATAAACTATTCATTGATGACTACTTTAAAAAATTATTTACCTTTGGTCTAGGCCTTCAGAAAATTTCTGAATAGTCACTTGGTAAAATTATAAGAGGAAAGGGGAAAGAAGGAAAGAGAAAAATTTATTCGAAATAATTTATATAAATAAAAAATGACAAGATTACTGTGAATTCCAACATAAGGAAAAATCCAACAAATCAAACAAATGGCCAAAACCTACAACAATCAAAGCAGAGGTCAGAATGTTGCCAACTGTGCTATTGCACCTCCAAAACCAAACACCAAAATATAAACCTTCACTGACAGATAAATTTCTTCATTCAGATACATGTTTCTCAAATACTCTCTATATATTTAAGTCAGAGATCTTTTTACTCAGAAGTTGAAATTCCCAAGTTTAAAATATTTAATAAGCTGCTTCAACCCAGAAAGAACTTTGCCTGTATATTTTTTGTGTTTTTGCAAAAACTGTTTAACATTTCTATGGAGGAGCAGTTTCTCATTATTTGCAAACTGAGGAAGAACCCTAAGGAGTGACAGTTTGATCTGACTTTCTACGCCTAGGAGAAGCATTTCAGCATTCATGATGATAAAGCTGAATAGTGGATTGAGTAAGAATCCCCTAATATTTAAAGGGCCAATTTCTTTATTCTTTTTCATTAGTGCATATTAATTATACAGAACGGGGGATTTCACATTGCCACATTCACTGTGAACTTAACACATTTTGTTCATTTACAGCCACCCCCCCCGCCTTACCCACCCTTACCCACCTGTCCCCTGATTCCTTTCTTCTTATGTTTAAGTCTCCCTCTACTTTCATGTCTTTTCCCCCTAGATTTTACATGGGAGAACATGTGATACTTGTCTTTCTGAGTGATTTATTTTGCTCAACAGGATGATCTCGAGTTTCACCSATTTTCTTGCAAACGATATGATTTCATTCTTCATTATGGCTGAATGATACTCCATTGTGTATACAGACCATATTTTCTTGTTCCATTTACCTGCTAAAGAGCACCTAGGCTGCCTGTAACTTGGCTATTGTGAATTGTGATGCAATGAACATGAGTATGCAGGTATCTCTATAGCATGCTATATCTGGGTCATGTGACAGTTCTACTCTTGGTTTTGAGGGATCTCTGCACTGATTTTCACAGTGGCTGGACTAACACATCTAAGGGTTCCCCAACCATCCTTGTTAGAATTTATTGTTATTTGTATTTTTGATGATTGCGATTCTGATAGCAGTGAGATAGAATCTCAATATAGTTCTGATTTGTATTTCCCTGATGGCTAAATATAATGAATACTTTTTCATATAACTATTGTCCAAATGTATTTCTTCTTTGGAGAAGTATCTATTCAGTTTAGATGCCTGCTTATTAATTGCATTATTTGTTTTTTGGTGTTTTCAAGTTCTTTATGTATATTCTGGATATTAATCCTCTGTTGGAAAGTAGATGGCAAAGATTTTCTCCCATTCCATAGGCTTTCTCTTCACATTCTTAATTGTTCGTTGTGTTGTGCAAAGGCTTTTCAATTTACTGTTGTTCAATTTGTCAATTCTTACTATTACTTCCCAATCTATAGGAATCCTATTCAGGAAGGTGTTGCTTGTGCCTATATCTTGAAATATTTCCTCTACATTACATATTGAATTGATTTTTGTGTAGGGTGAGAAACAGGAACTAGTTCCAATCTTCTACATATGGATATCAAGTTTCTCCACAATTGTTCATTAACTAGTCTGTCTTTCCTGCAAAGTACATTTTTGGCACCCTTGTCAAGGATCAGAGGACTGTAGCAGCGTGGGCTTACTTCTGTGTCCTCTATTTTATTCTAGTTGTCTACATATCTTTTTTTATATCAGTACCATGCTGCTTTTGTTACTATGGCTCTGTAGTATATTTTGAAATCAGGTATTGTGATACCTCCAGCATTGTTCTTTTTGCTCAGGACTGTTGCTTTGGCTATTCTGGGTCTTTTGTTTTTCCATATGAATTTTAGAATTTTTTCTAGTTCTGTAAAGAATGTCATTGGCATTTTGGTGGGGAACATATTGAATCTGTAGACTGCTTTTCATAACATGGTCATCTTCATATTGAATCTACCAATCCRTAAGCATATGAGTTTTTCTACATTTTAGTGTCATTTAATTTCTTTCTTCAATGTTCTGAAACTGTCATCATAGAGATCTTTTATCTTGTTGGTTAGGTGTATTTCTAGGTGTTTTGTTTATTTATTTATTTTGAAGCTATTATGAATGAAATTATCC